CCCCAAAACCCCAAAACCCCAAAACCCCACTTTTTATCAGATTTATTGAAAACAATGTGTAAATCATTAAGAAAGAAAATACCAATGAGCATAGTCAAAAGCAAAAGGAAAGAGATTGTACAGAGAGCAGAGAGCACTCCACAGCAGTTTGGAGATATCTCAATGATCTTGAGCTATGAAGGCATCAGCAAGATCCTTCCAGGACTTCCAAGGTCTATGAAGGAAATGCACCGACAAATGAACACCCTCTTTGGAATCAAGACTCCTGAGCTGTTCCGATTGTTCATGATTGACCATCAAGGTGATAAGATTGAGATTTACAAGAACAGAGATCTCAAATTGGCCTACAAAACTACCCTTAGCAATGATCTGAACTCAATGAAGATTTTTGTTTGGAGAAGAGACGCTCCAGGACCAAATGTTAATTCTTTTGCACACCTAAATCAGAAGAAAGGAGGATGGAATTTTGCAGCATTAACCAATTCATTTGAAACAGATAGTAAGAGAGGACTCGATCTCAAACCTATCGTTACAAGAGATCTTCATAGATACTATCTTCACTGAAAGTATAAAAACTATGTTTACTATAAATGAGAAAATCAGTCTAATCTGAACTGAGAAGGAATTTGGAGGATCAATCTAGAATCAGATTCAGATTGTGGAGAATCTTTCAAAAAGCACTCTGCAAGATTTGAAGATCATACCTACACAATGGAAGTGCTTCATCAAAGCCGACTGTTAGAAGACCAGATTTCATCATTCAGGGAGGATCATTCCTTGAGTATCTCCATCCCTATCCAATACCAATTCCAGAACATTTCAGCACTTCGTCCTGATGAAGTAAGGGCTCTGAATGACATAAAGACTTCAACCATCAAGATCATCAACGACAATCCGAATATAAACCGAAACGATTTCATTGCTTTCCTGACTAAGAACCCGAACTTCTTCAACATAATGCAGACGCAGTTAGCCATCGTTGACCACCTATTTGCTGACTGTCAGAAGCAAATCCAGTTATTCAAAAAGAAGGAGAACCACTTTGAGGAGCTCAAGAATAAGCTTCCTGATATTTCTAAAGTTATCAACCCCATATTCAGTCTTATTCCGCTCAGCTTTGATGTTCGCAAAGTCAAGAATAACAACAACATGCAGTTTGGAAGATATGCTAATGCAGTATTGAATAAAGGAACCTGAACAGTCAATGGATTCGTCAGCTTCGTCTCTGAGTATGGAATTGGGTTCCTCAAAGCTGGAAAGGAAGCCCAAGAAGGTAACTTTCTAATCAACATGCAAGAGCTGGAAATTGGAGCTCAGAAATTGAAGCATCTCATGACTTTTATGATAAGAACAGGCAAAGAATTCAGACCATTCTTGTATGTCCTGTGAAGCAATTTCTTGGAGGATACTCTTGAAAGAGTGTTTGATTGGATTAAAGATGAGCTCTGAGAATTTTTCACTCCCAAAAGTATAACTACTGATATCAACCCAATCTTTACAAAAATCATAAATAGAAAGTTTAGTGACTGAAAAGTGTATGTTTCTCATCATAGTTTTGCTTTTGACCTTTGGAAGATGGCTGATAATCTTGAACTAGTGGATAGATTTGCAACGAATCAGGATTTAGTAGACCTCATCGAAGACTTAAAACTTCTTCCATACCAAGATATCGAAGAGGCCAAAAAGAAATATGCAGAACTCAAATCAGAACACTGTTCCAAGCCTACCTACAACAAAACAATGATTAGTGAATTCTTCCATGAGTTTAATGAAAGATACCTTGTTGAAGAAGTCATGAAATTCCTCAACAACCACAAAATCACTGAAGACACTGACCTTTTCCTATGTGCTAACTCCGCCTCTGAGCAGATCACCAAGCTTCTGCGTCGGAAGACGCGTATCATCCTGAGTAATCCGAATCCTAATCCATTGATCTCTCGGATACAAGAATCAGTGAATTTCCTGAAATCAGTCGAACATGAATACCAGTCTTCAAAGATTCAGTTCACGAAGATAACCTTTAACGAATCTATGAATAAAGTAGGACCCAAGCTGATCTCTTATGCAAGAGAATGATATATTTGAGCCCTCAAAGATAAGGCCGTTAACTACCCAGTCAAAGTCAAGGCTAAAGAAGAAGCTCACCCACAAATAAAAATTCAATAATTCTTAAACTCCTCGGGGTTTTGGGGTTTTGGGGTTTTGGGG